TAAAAACATAATAAAACATTACACTTTAAAAAGCTTCCCATTGCACATTAGAAAACGTCTACCCTGTTATAGGGCTACTCCTGTAACTGCATCTTAATGCTAATCACAGGATCTCTATATGAACAAGTTATTTTATACGTCGCCAAACTGCACCGCAAAAATTATCCTTATATAAGCAGATTCGGCTATTTTTTTAAGTCACAGGAATTGTGTGTGCACGTGCATGTGTGTAAGTGCATCGCACACAACAGATGAAACCGTTCATTCATTTTTTTTGTATGTGCACAAAAAATCAGGTTCAGAGTGGCTTGCAACAAAGAAACAGGGACGTATTTCAAGGAAACGCTACGAAAGCAATCTCGTAATCATAGCAAAACAGTTGTGAATATAATAACGTACCAAAAAACTATATTCCCATACCATAAATATAACAAGATTATTTAAACAACAGCAGGCAATAAGAAAAATAGGAAAGGAGCTTCGCTGTTTCACCTGAGTTAGTTAAAGCCATGGTTTTCCCAGTAGTGATGTATGGAGGTGAGAGCTGGACCACAAAGAAGGCTGATCGCCGAAGAATTGATGTTTTTGAATTATGGTGCTGGAGGAGACTCTTGAGAGTCCCATGGACTGCAAGAAGATCAAACGTATCCATTCTTAAGGAAATCAGCCCCGAGTGCTCACTGGAAGGACAGATCGTGAAGCTGAGGCTCCAGTACTTTGGCCACCTCATGAGAAGAGAAGACTCCCTGGAAAAGACCCTGATGTTGGGAAAGATGGAGGGCACAAGGAGAAGGGGATGACAGGACGAGATGGCTGGACAGTGATCTCGAAGCGACCAGCATGAGTTTGACCAAGCTGCGGGAGGCAGTGGAAGACAGGAGTTCCTGGCGTGCTCTGGTCCAGGGGGTCACGAGGAGTCGGACACAACTAAACAACAACAAGGACCAGTTCCACCCCACTGAGCTGCAAGCATAGGGGTCACTGCAAGTGTGTGACGTAGTGAACTGAACAGAATGGATATTGAGAGGCCCGGGGGGGGGGGAGGCAGCGCGGTTTTGGCCTTGCACAGGCCACTTCTGAAATTTGAAAGACCAAAGTCTGCCCCTGGTTGCATGATGAGCTGTGAATGGCACACAGACCTTCTGCACATGATGCAGAGGAGAAACTCAGGAGTGCAAAACAAGTGTGCACAGAACAGGAAGCCACAGCCAGTCACAGCACCCTCACAAGCGCTTCCTGCATGTATTCCCCCCCCCCCCAATGAAGATATGTACCTAAGATGTTTCAAATATGTACACACGGATAATTTTATAAATAATGTATGAAATTTGAGGTAGGAAAATAATTTGAAGTAGAAATGGTATGCAGTTGAAAAAGAAAATTAAGAAAGCAGGGGAGCGAGGGGGAGGGAAGTCGTGGGATTCGGAGAACCCCATTTCATGGAGTTGATATTGCTTTTATGTATATTTTTCTCTGTTTGTGGTTGTTGTGGTGGTGGTTGTCTGTTTTCTATTTTTTTATTTTTGTTGAAAATTTAATAAAAATATTGTGTGTGCGTATGTGCACACGCGCAAAATATAACTTGTAAAATAGCCCATAAGTGTTTTGTACCTGTAAAATATTTAGGGCTGTATATTAGGGTTGCCATATTTCAAAGAATAAGAACTAGGACACCCCAAAAGTTATTGATGTTTTGTTGCTGTTGTTTTTTTAGACAACCCCCCCCCAAGTTATTGAGCTGTTTCTTTTTTTTCTTTTGGAAAAAATGTGAATTTTTGGTTGATCCAAAGCGCCACCTTTTGGAAATCCCCACCCCACCCCCGGACGTCAATTCCACCTTTGAAATCCCAGTAATGTCCAGGAAAATCCAGATGTGTAGCAGCCCTACTGTATGTACTTGGCAATGGGAGGAGAGGGGAGAGACCTGGCAGAAGAGTCACTTTAAAAAGTCTGAATTCTGTGTCCTACATTTTCAAAAGCGGCAAGGCCAGCCATAAATTATGCAGATTTGCATCTGGTTGCACATTTAGCTCAATTCCAGTTTTGTAGATCATGGGTTAGTGGTACTTCAGCATCGCCCTCCTGGAAACTGCGATCTTTTTTTAATTTTTACTGTTCACCTTCTGCCTTTTTTGACTATTCACTGATTTTAGAGTTCTTGTTGTTGTTGTTCTTGTTGTCTTTTATTTTATTTTTTATTAATGATTTTTATTGAAATTTACAATCACCAACCAACCCCCACCACCCACCACCAAAGCATCACATCTTATTACATGTATCCTACTTTGTGTTTCATAGATCCATTAGCTTCCGTCCTTCCCTTCCACCAGTTTTCCTATTCCATTCTATAGTTTACAGATTCTTTAATTATAAATTATACCGTGACATGAGATTTATTTCAATCCTGCCAACGTTTTCATATTTGTACAATTCTCACTTATATAAACCATAAATTTACTCCATTCTTTTTGGTACTTTGTCTCCTCCTGATTGCGAATTCTGTGTGTCAATTTAGCCATCTCAGTTCTTGTTGTCCTTTAAATGCAATTAAAAATAACAAGTTGGGGCTCTTGCAGCTCTACAAATTCTACGATCCTGTGACCTCCGCTTCCACTCTCCTGCTGCCAACACAAAATCCATAAAATGGTAGGCTCAAATCATTTCCATTCAAAGGAAAAATGGACAAGTGCTTTTCCAGTTCCACTTCCATCACCCTGACCCTCCCCTCCCTCCCTCCCAAACTGGGAATATTGGCACTGGTTGTTCCTGTTTCATCAAGGCTACACCCTGTCCGTGATACGATGATAGCACTCTATTTGCACTGGTAGCACAAATGAAAGCGATAAAAACGTTCTTGTTTTTGTTCCAATCCCTTGGAAAACTAACTGTTATGGCTTCACCTTAGGAACTGAGATAGGCGCTCACGCATTGTCCTTGTGTGACACAACTTATCTCCACGCATTTCCATTTTTTTCTAGTCCCAGCAGGGGGCGCTTTAATAACTGGACCAAGGATGTGGTTGGAACTACAGGGGATGCCTGTGGTTCTGTCATCGCAGGAGATAACTAGGCAAAGTGATGGCGAGAAAATGGATGCAATCATCCAGGTATCTTTTCTCTCCCAGTTCCCAGAAGCTGCTGCTGCTGCAATCATTCGTAGCCAAGTAAGATTGTCTTCCATAAACACAGTTTTAGCAGTGAGTCTGTAAGTGACTGTGGAGGCCAGTTCTGGATCCACACGTCCTTCCATACTGGGGACATAGGTTTCCAGGCGGGAGTTGATCATGGTGAGGGTTTGCAAAGCGTGCCTTCCTCTTAGCACGTTTCTCCCTTTCGTCTTGAGTTTGAGCGTCTTCAAAGCCCATGACACCTTTGGTAAAGGCTGTTCTCGAGTTGGAGCGCTCACAGACAAGTGTTTCCAAGTTGTCAGTTTTTATCCTACATTATTTAGATTTGCCTTGAGAGCGTCTTTAAACCTCTTGTTGTCCACCAGCATTACGCTTTTCATTTTCAAGTTTGGAATAGAGTAGTTGCTTTGGAAGACGATCATCAGGCATCCGCACAACATGACCAGTCCAACGAAGTTGATGTTGAAGAATCATTGCTTCAACACTGGTGATCTTTGCTTCTTCCAGTACCCTGGCATTAGTTTGCCTGTCTTCCCAAGCGATGTGTAAAAAAATTTGGCGACACCATGGATGGAATCTTTCGAGGAGTTGGAGATGGCGTTTATCGTCACCACGCTAGTCTCTTGCGGCAAAAGCAATAGTCTTTCGGCACCTTTATTAAAGGCATTTTAAAAAAAACATGTTTATGGTATGAACTTCATGCATCCAACGAAAATGATTCTACTCCATGAAAGCCACGTTAGTTTTTAAGATGCCACAAGCGTCTTAGGGATTTCGTTTGAAACAGGCTGTTAAAGAGCAAGGTCCTGGTTCAATTTAGGCCTACAGGGGGAGCTATTGGAAGTAGTGGCCGGAGGAACAAAGAAAAGCAAGCAGGATTTTCCTCAGGTCCCAAAATTTCTATATCTGCCCACTCTTCACCCTACACAGACTAAAGCAGGTTAATTAAAAACCAGAGAGCAAATCAGAATGTGTTTTTCTCAGGGCAGCTAGTAACAAACAACTGCTTTTTTCCACATGGCTGCTCCAGGAAGGAGGTAGACTAATCTCAAAGAGTTAATGGTTAATTCTCAGTGGCCAGGATCCAGCCCACTGGCTCCCTCGCCCCCTGCTTTAAAAAGCTTGCTTTCCTGGGTTGTTTTTATAAACCGACCTCGCAGCAATCGGAGGGTGGAGGGGAAAGCGTATTAAAGCTGCTTAGAAAATATTTCCGAGAAAATAAACAAATACTTTCAGAGCAGAATTGTGTTTGTTTGATTGTTGTTAGCCGCCCTGAGCCCAGCTTCAGCTGGGAAGGGCGGGATATAAATAAAATTTATTATTATTATTATTATTATTATTATTATTATTATTAAGCAAAACCTTATTGGGCTCCTGAAAACTTTCTGCAATTGCATTTTTGATTGCAAGGTGCTTCTCTGATTATTTTGCTCTCCTTCTTGTCAGATACGGCATTTGATAATTAGATTTAGTAGAGAAAAGGCTTGAAAGGTGAGAAGGCGGCTATTCCGGAACTGGTACCTTCTTGCTTTCCTTAGTTATTTTGATTTCCAACTGCAAAAGCTTGTTGCAGCTAACAGCTTCTTCCAGGTATCATGTGCTCCCCCTTCAGAGGGTGGATCTACACACAAGGAAAAACAACAGCACTATAAATAAGTCATAAATTAAATGTTATAACCAATGGAAAAAAAACTCCATTTAAAATTGCATAGAAAAGTTTTTTGCTCTACAGCGCCACCTGGTGTTGCGTATTTATAACACATTTAAAATGCTGTTTTTTGACTGATGTCCAGAGTCTCTCCCTTAGAGCACTTTCCCTGCCCATGTACAAAGCATGAATGTTCAGTGTTCCCTCCACCTCTGCTTCCTGCAGCGTTGCAAGGACCGGGTGAACGCCTTGGCCATTGCGGTGATGAACATGTGGCCGGGAACGAGGCTGCGAGTGACGGAGGGCTGGGACGAAGACGGGCACCACCTGCCCAACTCCTTGCACTATGAAGGCCGGGCGCTGGACATCACAACATCCGACCGCGACAGGGAGAAATACGGGATGCTGGCCCGCTTAGCAGTGGAGGCTGGTTTCGACTGGGTTTACTACGAGTCCAAGGCGCACATTCACGTGTCTGTGAGAGCAGGTAAACAGGAGGAAGGAGCTCAAGTTGAGGTTCCCAGTTCTGGAAAATGGGTGGTGGCAGAGGACCCTATTAGTGAGATTTGCACAAGAGGCCATGAATGTGAGGGTTATGGGATGCATCTCCCGATTTGGGAAAGGGCGGGTATCACATGCACTGTTTAAGGAACGGGAGCAAGACCAAACTTTAGGACATTTTTGCTACCTTAGTGTGTGTGTTTTTTTTGTTTTAAAAATTTATCGTATTTTTCGCTCCATAAGATGCATCAGACCATGAGGCACACCTAGTTTTGGGAGGAGGAAAACAAGAAAAAATTATTCTGAATCCCAGAAGCCAGAACAGCAAGAGGGAACTGGCTTCTGGGATACCGTGTGGCTGTTCTGGCTTCTGGGATAACTGCGCCAAGCCTCTTCAGGGCAGAGGGATGAAGGCTCCCCCTGCCCAAAGAGGCTGCGCAGGGCTAAGGCAGAAGTCAGGGCAGGCGTGTTGCTGAAGGGGCGCTGCACAGTTCTCCCTCTCTGAGAGGGAGAACTGCGCAGCGCCCCTTCAGCGAAGCTGGAGAAGGAACAGAAGGAGACCCTTCTGTTCCTCCTCCAGCTTTGCTGGACAGGCGCCCCTTCAGCGAAGTGGGAGGAGGAACAGAAGGGGGCTCCATTCCTCCTCCCGCTTTGCTGAAGGAGTGCTACGCAGCTCTACCTTTCTTCGCAGCACCATTCGCTCCATAAGACGCACTCACATTTCCCCTTACTTTTCAGGAGGAAAAAGGTGCGTCTTATGGAGCAAAAAATACGGTATTTACAGTGGTACCTCTGGTTGTGAACGGGATCCGTTCCGGAGGCCCGTTCGCAACATGAAAAGAGCACAACCCGCAGCGGCGTGTCTGCGCATGTGCGGGTTGCGATTTGGTCTTCTGCGCATGCGCATAACATCATTTTGCGCTTGTGCGCATGCGCGAGCGGCGAAACCCCGAAGTAACCCTTTCTGGTACTTCCGGGTCGCCGCAGGACGTAACCTGAAAAAACATATCATGAAGCAAACATAACATGAGGTATGACTGCATTTGGTTTTTCAACTTAAAATATATCAAACATAATCATAAAGACAAGATTCCAAGGAATCTCCTGGACTTCCATCCTCTGCTTTGTGGGTCCTATTATTAATCAATTCCTCCCGAATCTTTTATGATAATCCAAACCGTTTACCTCTTCCATTATGTCCAGAATTCAACCTTAAACTACAAGTGATATTCCAATCCTACTAACGATTTTAACTCTTTCCAATAGTCTTTAAAATAAGTTATAAATTTCCCCCATTCCTTGTAAAAAAAAAAGGTCTTCCTGATTTCTGACTCTTCCGGTCATTTTAGCCATTTCAGCATAGTCCATTAACTTCATCTGCCATTCTTCTCTGGTAGGAACTTTGTCTTCTTTCCATCTCTGGGCCAGTAAAATCCGTGCGTGATCATGTACGTGGTTGCATACATAAATAGTCTTTTCTGCTCCTTTGGGTTTTCGGCACCTAGAACTCCAAAAGGAAGGCTTCAGGCTTTTTAATTAAGTACTTAACCAGAGGTACCACAATAATAATAATAATAATAATAATAATAATAATAATAATAATAATAAAATTTCCTGCAACATCATTCATGCTGCCCGCTTCACAAGCTTCCAAGCTGTCTGATGGTAGGGCTGGCCTTGAGCAGGAGACAGAACTCCTTGCATTCCATGTATGGTCAATAAATGCCACAGGAGCATACCTTCCAACATTTCTCCAATGAAAACAGGGACGTTCTATTCAACAACAACCATAATTTTATTATTTATTCCCCGCCCATTTGACTGGGTTGCCCCAGCCCCTCTGGGTGGCTCCCAACATATATAAAATCACAATAAAACTATACAGGGCTGCCTTCAGATGTCTTCTAAAGGCTGTATAGTTGCTGATCTCCTTGGCTCGGGGGTTGCATAACTCCATACCCTCCAACATTCCTCCAATGAAAATAGGGACGTCCTAAGGGAAATCAGGATGGCTTCTGTACATGTGGGTCTGTCCCTGGAAAATAGGGACTCTTGAAGGGTCTGACGGAACCAGGGGGACACTTCCCTTCTCATCTGCAGCTAGAGAAGGGGCTGTGAGACAAAAGGCCGGGAACCCAATGCCACAGCACTTCTAATGACATCTCCACCCCCATCGTTCAGCCCGGACACTGAGGTTCAGCTCCGAGGGCCTTCTGGTGGTTCCCTCACTGCAAGAAGTGAGCTTACAGGGAACCAGGCAGAGGGCCTTCTCGGTAGTGGTGCCCGCCCTGTGGAACGCCCTCCCATCAGATGCCAAGGAAATAAACAACTATCTGACTTTTAGAAGACACCTGAAGGCAGGCCTGTTTAGGGAAGTTTTAAATGTTTGATGTTTTATCACATTATTATTATTATTAAATTTTTATTTATACCCCGCCCTTCCCAGTTCAAAAACCGGGCTCAGGGCGGCTAACAACAAATTTAAAACGCTTAATTATAAAAGCAGCATAAAATACAGTATACAAACATGAATAACAATAAAATTCAAAAAGCACTTAGATAATCCCCAGGGCTAGCTGGCTGAATTGGTCCTACTTGGGCCAGCGAGGAGGCCAGGGGAGAATTAGCTGTGGGGTCTTAGAGCGGGTGATCTTCATAAAAGGGGAGGAGGAGGGAAGAGAAGGGAAGGGAAGGGAAAGAAAAGATCAGGCTGAATTCAAATTAAAGGCCAGGCGGAATAGGTATGATGATGATGATGATGATGATGATGATGATGATGATGATGTTGGGAGCCACCCAGAGTGGCTGGGGAAACCCAGCCATATGGGTGGGGCATAAATACATTATTATTATTTATTATCTCCTTCTGCTCCCTTAGATAACTCCATGGCTATCCGTGCCGGAGGCTGTTTTCCTGGCGACGCAGCAGTGACCTTGTGGAACGGCGAGAAGAGAGGCCTCTCGGATCTCCGGCGGGGCGACTATGTGCTCAGCGTGGACCAGAGTGGGCAGGTGACCCCCAGCGAGGTTTTGCTGTTCCTCGACCGGGACCAGCACCGGCGGACCACCTTTGTGGCTATCGAGACGGACGGCCCCGTCCGCCGGCTCCTCCTCACGCCCTCGCACCTCGTGTTTGCCGCACGGGACCCGGCCAACAACACGGCGGACTTCTCTCCGGTGTTTGCCAGCCGGGTGCGCATGGGGGACTCTGTGCTGGCGCACCGGGCGGGCGGCCGCCAGCTGCACCCTGCTCGGGTGGTCCGCGTGTGGCGGCAAGAGGGCGTTGGGGTGTACGCCCCTTTGACTTCGCACGGCACCATTCTGGTGAACGGGGTGCTGGCTTCGTGCTACGCCGTCCTCGAAAGCCACCATTGGGCCCATCGGGTATTCGCCCCGCTGAGGTTGGCTCACCGCCTCCTCTCGCTGCTGCCTCTCGCAGGCGAAGCCAGGAACTGCAGCGCCCAGGAGACGGGCATGCATTGGTATTCACAGTTCCTCTACCGGCTGGCATGGGGCGCGCTGGGCCAGGACACTCTTCACCCATAGAGAGACTCCAGCCTGCTGGGCAGATTTAAGCTTATCAAGCCATAAGACAAGGATAAGGAATTTGTGCTCCAGCTTGGCCCCATGCCTTATTGGCCATGATTCCTTAGATCAGTGGTTTTCAACCGGTGCGCCGTGGCACCCTGGGGTGCCTTGAACGATGGTCAGGGGTCCTGCGGGCAACATTGGCCTCTGTTCTTATTCCCTTCCCTCCCTCCTCTGTTTGTTGCTGCAGTAGCCCTGGCTAAAAGCACCACAGGCGAGTGGTGTCTCTGGGGCTGGCCAGGGGGTGCTTCCCAGGCCCCTGTGGGGCAGTGGGAGGAGGCACCTCTCTTTGGGGTGGGGAGGGGGGTAGCTCAGAGACCAAGGGCAGTGGCGGCAGCCCAAGGAGACGGGAGAGGAGAGAAGGCTGGGGGAACACTCCACGAGGGGTGGCTTAACTGGACTCCTGAGCCCCACAGAGGTGCCGCAGGAAGAATGTAGTCGCTCAAGGGAGCCGTGGACCCAATAAGGGTGAAGACCTCTGCCTCAGATGATGCCTCCTGAAACCACTTGCCACGAAAGAGAGGGAAAGGGTTTGTCGGCAGCGTAGGATTTGGAATGCCTGACTTGAATGCGCCTGTCGTGGGCTGCATTCAGAAGGCCCTGGGCTTTACCCAGACGGGTCTGTGGAACTTGCAGACATCGAAAGGCACTCTCCGTCCCTCCTCCTCCTCCTCCTCCTAAATTTAGCACAAAGCCAGCAAGACCCACTGTCTGGTTTTTAGTGGGTGGGGTGGATTTCCCTCCTTCCAGATGGTTGTCCCGATCTCTGTTTGACATTAGCATAAAACAAGAGGTTGCTCTTCGGCCGCTCCACAAAGATGAGTGGGGCCAGGGTGGGGGAGGCACAAACGAGAGATCTCATGCCAGGGAGATCTGGGAGAATGACTTGGGTCTGTGCCCTTCCCCTTGCCCCCTCCCTCCCACCTCCAGAGGTGCACTGCAGTATTTAGAAGACATGCAAAAATAACCGAGGGGGTTCCATTGGCTGCCCCTAATTCTAGAGGTGCGTCCGCAATGATGTAGGCTGGCCAATGAGCCCAAGGGTCCTATTTGCAGCGCGGGTGCTTTGAAACTTGGCGTGCACAGGGTCACTTTAACCTGGCATCCTTGACTTAACCTAAGTCACAACACTGGATTCAATGGGAAGGGGGGTGGCGTGGTTCAAGATGGAAGACTCCAGTCTCTCGCAGAGAAAGGGCTGTCTTCCTATTCTGTAGGCTGGGGCAACTGGCTGGTTCTGTGACGATGGGGAGCCGCGGCCCCCTCATTCCCTTCCATTCTCTGCCACCTGGACCTCATGCGAAGCTCACCCCCCACCCCACCCCCTCTCTGTGCATTTCTTGGTGGGGGGGCCAATCTTAACACTTAACCGCTGAAACTTTAAAGTCCATTCCTTCACACTTACGAAGCCTGTTGTAACCCTTAGCTGCCGCTTCAGAGTTTTTATTTTTATATTTATAAAGTAGTAATTTAAGTGTGGTCTGTCGCCACCTCTTGTCTCGTGTTGGGTATAAATTTGACGTTTTGCCAGGAAGAGGATTGCGAGGGGTGGGGTTATTTTTGTAAGCTGTGTTTTAACGTCTCCTTCCCCACCTCCCTTTTTTTAAAATAGTATTTTTATGTGTGTTTTACTAAAGATAATTTCTTTGACTCCTGTCACAATATAATTTTTTTTTGGGGGGGGGATACGCCTTGCTTGGGCAGGAAGCCGCTTCTCTTCCTGCTCTTTACCACAGTCCATGGGCTAGGGGGTGCCCCGGGCCCTGGCAACCCATGCTACGCCACTGGGATTCCATACATTGTTCCAAATCCAGTTGTTTTCCTGTGGATGGGAGAGCTCAAAAGTGCATGTGCAGACAGAGCTTGCTATTGCTGTCCCGCTGATTTCAGTGCAGCTGACAAGTGACTTGCACCCACACCATTTTTCAGCTCATGAACCCATGGTCCTCACGGAGAAGAATGGGACACTCTGTGTATGTAATAATAATAATAATAATAATAATAATAAATTTATTTATACCTCACCCATCTGGCTGGATTTCCCCAGCCACTCTGGGCGGCTCCCAACAGAACACTAAAAACAGAATAAAACTTCAAACATTAAAAACTTCCCTAAACAGGGCTGCCTTCAGATGTCTTCTAAAAGTCAGGTAGTTGTTTATTTCCTTGACATCTGATGGAAAGGTGTTCCACAGGGTGGGCACCACCACCGAGAAGGCCCTCTGCCTGGTTCCCTGTAACCTCGCTTCTCGCAGTGAGGGAACCGCCAGAAGGCCCTTGGAGCTGGACCTCAGTGTCCAGGCAGAACGATGGGGGTGGAGATGCTCCTTCAGGTATACTGGACCGAGGCCGTTTAGGGCTTAAAAGGTCAGCACTTGCCCCATGCAGTCACTGGAGCTCATGTAGGAGTGCAGATCAGGGTGCCTTTGAACAGTCCACATTTGTGTGTGATAAAGACCCCTGTCACTCACCAGTCATGTCTGAAGGGTCTTCACTCCTTAGGGTGCATCCTCTGTCTTTACCCTGGCGGCAGTAAAAGGTAAAGGGACCCCTGACCATTAGGTCCAGTCGTGGCCGACTCTGGGGTTGTGGCGCTCATCTCGCTTTATTGGCCGAGGGAGCCGGCGTACAGCTTCCGGGTCATGTGGCTAGCATGACTAAGCCACTTCTGGCGAACCAGAGCAGCGTGCGGAAACGCTGTTTACCTTCCCGCCGGAGTGGTACCTATTGATCTACTTGCACTTTGATGTGCTTTCGAACTGCTAGGTTGGCAGGAGCAGGGACCGAGCAACGGGAGCTCACCCCGTCATGGGGATTCGAACCGCCGACCTAGTCCTAGGCTCTGTGGTTTAACCCACAGCGCCACCCGTGTCCCATCTGGTGGCAGTAATGAGGCCATAACTCAGGTCCACTCCTGAGGTCTCACGTTCAGCCCCTGCTGCTGCCAGCGGGGAGAAGGCCGAGGACTGAGAGCTCTGCCTGGCATTGCTGGAGAATCGCTAAGTGGTCTCTGTATGTGGTGGGCACTCGCCCATCTTCCCCATTGTGTTGTAGCCTCGCCATCTTGCTGAAGAGCAGCAGCCTGCCTCGTTGGCAGCCGCTAGTCACGCCTGGGAGGGTGCCCCGTCACCTCCCGCCGGGAGGTTTGACTTCGTGCCACCATTTCGTACCCTCCTGATCCTGTTTCGCATTCCTGCCTCTGGCATCTGTATAATGAAGGTCAAGAGCGAGCCGGGAGCTGAGAGAGGCAACTGTTTACACTGGGCTGTGTGGGCGTGAAGTCTGGCTGCCTCAATGTCCTCTCTTGCTCTGTCTAGCCCCACTTTCCTCTCCTCCGCAGAACCCCCCCTTGCCGCTGTATGCCTGTGTGGGGTCAGCGTGGCTTCCTTACCAGGTGTGCGTGACCCAGCGGTGGGAGATGCAGGGCTTTCGGACGACGTTCGAGCCCGGGAGAATCTGATTTTCACTGTCAAACTTCGTTCACCTCCCGTAGCTCAGCTGGGTAGAGCATGGTGCCCATCATGCCAGGGTTGCAAGTTTGATTCCCCTATGGAGCAGCTGCATATTCCTACATCGGAGGGGGTTGGATGAAACTCAGGTTCACTTCCAACTCTACAATTCTATGGGCAATCGGTGGATTTTTATCCTAGGGGACAATTTCCCAACACATACTAGCATCATTGCTCATCTCATGCAGGCATAGTACAGTAGTACCTTGGTTCTCAAACTTAATCTGCTCCGGAAGTCCGTTCCAAAACCAAAGCGTTCCAAAACCAAGGCACGCTTTCCCATAGAAAGTAATGCAAAACAGATTCATCCATTCCAGACTTTTAAAAACAACCCCTAAAAGAGCAATTGAACATGAATTTTACTATCTAATGAGTCCATGGATCCATAAAGCAATAATCAATGTACTGTACTATAAAATAAAGAAGACAGTATTGTAGATGATGAAAATTTAAATTTTTTTTTTCTCTTACCTGCACTGATGATAGTCATTGTTTGGATGGGGGGCTTTTATCCATTTCTGCAGTCACACAATCAATCAGTAGCTGAACTGGGTTCCACACAGTCACAAAAACAAATGAACCAAAAAAGCCTCAAAAACAAAAACGCAAAATAAATAGCAAAACAAAAGCACCAAACTTAATCTGTTCCAGAAGTCCGTTCGACTGCTGAAATGTTCAGAAACCAAAGCGCAGCTTCTGATTGGTGCAGGTGCCCCGGAAACAATAGGCAACAGCCGTATTGGACGTTCGGCTTCAGAAAAACATTTGGAAACCGGAACACTTACTTCTGGGTTTTTGGTGTTTGAGAACCAAGGCATTTGAGAACCAAGGTACCACTATTATCATTTTTTTAAAATTGGCTACAGGTTGATCGGCACCACCTTCCATATGCCTCGGGTTGAAATGGGTTAAGGGTGAGTGGGCAGGCTTCCCAGGGAAGGAAGTGGGTGATTCCCAGCAAACATTTCATTGTCATCATTTTATTTTCTATAGGACTTTCCCACAGACAGGGCACCATACAGTTAATTATCCTCATTATCAATAAAGCGCTGAGTGTTTGTGTCACCAGCCGTACCTGTGACATCTCCTAGAACAACCAGCCTCTGGGAGGAAAACCCTCTTAGCAGAAATCTTTGAAAGCAATCTACGTGCAAAAGCTTTGGCTAATATGCTATGTCCGGCTTCTGAGGCAGCAGCAGGCCTGTGAACAGCAGTTGCGGATGTAATTCTGCAAAAGAGGTGATGCTGTTCGGCATCACCCATTCATTGTGTGTTGGGTAACAACACACAGCACAAGGGTGGGATGAATGCGAAGTCTTGTGGCCCCTTGAAAGTTTAACAAATTGTAACGCGAGCTTATGTGTTCGCTACACCAGATGCATCCAGTGTAATCCTCAGTTATGCGCATGCACGCACAAAGTTGTAAAGGGAGGAGTTAAAATTGTGGGATGAGAGGGAAACGGAATGCAAACCGATAATTCCATTAGCCAGAAAGCATGCATAATAAACACAGTGAGCCCTTGCATTATAATAATGCATAATAAAGCTACGGTACGTTTCCATGTGTAAGACTAGGTTTTTTTCTTTAAAAATTGTGCTTAAAAGTGGGGGTCGTCTTATACATGGATAGTGCATGGGGTGGACATTAGATTGGTTGCTGCCCTGGCTGTCACTGGCTATTGGGCCTGTTATTGGTTGCTGCGTCAATGGCTGGTGTTGATTGGCTGATGCTGCGGCAATTGGGCAGGCGAGGGGACAGACTAAAGGCTATTTTCGGACGTGTTGTGAGCGATTTTCAGAAATCCCCCCTAAAAAAAGCTCAACAACTCTGTGCCATCTCCCTCCATTTTTGAGTACCCCAAAATATGGGGCGTCTTTTATATGGGGGCGTCTTATAGATGGAAAAGTACGGCACTTAGTTAACTTATGTAGTGGGAAAGCAAACCATTTCGTACTCAGGCCAGAGTACCAGAGCAGTCCACCGCTGATTTTAAAATGGTTATGCTTCAATAAAGGAATTTCAAAGGGAGGTTGCAACATGAAACCGACGAATTACAATTCATCAAGAAGTTCAACCCTATTCATTTGGGCCTGAATAGAGATGATAGTTTCCTTTCCTACTACAGAAGTTTATTGAGTCAATAAAACAACCACTGTATTGTATAGGACCGCTGCTTATTTTTCATTCATTCCAGTTCTAATTGAATTATCGCCATCTTTGCTTGGTGGATTTCATTTCCCTCTGACCCCGCAGCTCAAAACTCCTTCTCTTACAACTGTGTATATGTATGTATGTATATATTGTGTGTGTGTGTGTGTGTGTGTGTGTATGCATATAGCTTACGTCGTGAGATTTGTTAGCCTTTCAAGGTGCCACAAAACTCTATTCTTGCGACAACAGATTTAACACAGCTGCTCCTCTGGAAATCACCACTAGTATGGATCAACATAGGGTAAGGTTACCAGATTTTTCAAAGAATCCGGGGACACTTTTTTTAAAAAAAAAAAGAGGGGAAAATTATTTTTAAAAAAACTATTTAAAAAATAAAGAAAGAAGTAATATCTTCTCTTCTGTGGTCTCCTCTGTTGCGCGCCCTTCCTGTGGGCCCCAGCCTGCTCTCTTGGAGCGCTAGCCACCATGGAGTAGGCTCGGATCGGGCCTGGGCTCAGCCACGTGTCTTTGCCCTCCCAGTGCTCTCCTACCTCTCCCCCTCAGTGGCAGTGGCAGCAGCGGCGCGGCAAGCTGAGGCTCCCCTCTTTTTTTCTCCTTCCTCTTTCTCCTTCTCTCTTCCTTCTCACTGTGTCAGCTCCGGGGTTTTTACTCGCCCCAGAGCACTGCTGGGCAGTTGGCCGGGTGGTTGGGCGCTTTCGCTCCCAGCTCAATTTGGGTTGCGGGAGGGGGGTCAGCGGTTCCCCCAGTTGACGCTGGGCTTTCCCAGTTCCCCTGCGGCAGCGGCAGCGGCAGCAGCAGTCTCAGCAGCCCGGAGCCAGCCTGGTAGCTCAGTTGGCTCTGGCTGGCTTCAGGAGCTGCTCTGTGCTGTGGCGTCCACCATTTTGACTCGCTGGAACTCCCCATATGATGTGTCTTGTGCCGCTGAGCCAGTCACACAACATTCATTCCCTACTAATAAATCTACAACA